ACTCAATAACCATCATCAAGATATTTTATTATGCAGATTTCCAACCTAAAAACAACAAAACATACATATGTGTTAATGGTTGTTTTTTATAAAAAGTAATGAATATATAGTTTTATCTAAATATTCAATCTGATGATACAAGAGCCCTAACTGTTTCTTTTAGTTTTTGTCTTCATATATTAGTAAATAGCAATATAGTTTCAATACATCTTACAAACACAAACACACCGTTATTTTACCAGGAAAGACAACATTTCACAACTTTTTTACCGAAATACAGCTGAATTTTGGTCTAATACAATAATTTGTTAGTTTCTTGCCAAATTATATCAAACAATAACAAATTTGGTTCAAATATTTTATGTAAAACCTAAAAAATATGTGAATATATATAATTTCATTTACAAAAATCTCTCCAAGATTGTAAGATCCTTCAAATAAACGAAGAGAGAAATTTAATTGAAAATGAAATTACATAAGCATGAAATGTGCCAATATTCTACAAAAGACCAATCATATAAGAGAAAATTGTTGTTTAATAGCAACAACAAAACACCAATAACATCACGGTCGTAAAATAGGAAGCTGCCTGAAAACAAATAAAACCCCAAATCAAAACAAAATATAAACATTTTAGGTAACATACTAGAGAACATATATGTACAAGCATTAATATACTTTCAACCCTGATTCAAAATATAATTTTTTTTTTTAAAACTATCTTTATTCAAATATATGTACAACCCTCAAAAAAAAAAAAAAAAAAAAAAAAAAAAAAAAACTTTTTCTGAGATACATTTGTGCATCGTCGTTCCCTCTCTGTTGTGATCCCGTCGATTCGATTTGACCCTCTTCTCTGCATACCATCCTCTTCTTGAGTCGCTGATTCAGGAGTGAAGGCACTATTACAATCGGCCGCTGTCGCTATACAATACGTTTCTTCAAATCTCCGTTCGGCGTCTTTGCTGGCCTCTTCGTCGGCTCTACTGATTTGTTTTGCAATCTCCACCTCTTCTTTGCTCTTGAACACCATATCTTCTTATCAGATACTTGACTTAGTCTTTATTTTGTTTTGAAAATAATGTCTTCACCGGTGCATCTATATTTTCGATGTTCTTCAATAGAGGGTAGGTTGTGGGTGTACAAAAGTATATTATTTATTTTTTTTGAACAGCAAATATATCTCTAAATATTATTAAAAGATAACCTTAAATTCTAAATCGAAGAAATAAGGGCCTTTAATTACATTTCACACCTTAGTTCTCCACCTTCGGATAGTTTTGCTGACATCATCTTAGACCAAAATACGCACACTCACTGCATTGTAACGTCCTTCTTACATTTCATTCCTAGGTTTTCCTCTCCACATAGTCAGCAGGCAAGAGCGTATATCAACATGAAGTCATTTTTTTTTTCTTTTTCTTTTTCTCTTTCTGTCTCCAATCCATCAATGGATGTAGCTTTGTTTGAAAATGACATACTTTATGAAGACATTAACGCTCCTCAATGGATTGATTTCTCCGATCATGATCCTCCTGTGTATGATGAAGCTTGGTGCATTCACAAACGCCGATGAATTTTAGGATTTTGTTTCTAGGGTTCCTTTCTTCTTTTTTCGTTTCCGGGTTTCTTGCTGCATTGAGTTATGTCGACAGCAACACAAAATCAGAAAGCTTCTGTAACGACGTCATCACTTGCAAAGTGGCAGGCGTCGGATAATGTCGTTGGCAAATCAATGGCTTTGCCGCCTCACTTGGCCAAGAAACGTCCTGCTCTCGCTAACGTCACGAACCAAAGACCCACCTGTCATAACATCTCAAAAGGCGCATCTAATTTGGTAAAACATAATTTCATTCTTTCACATTCTTTTAAACTATTATGGGATTTTCATTTACTTCATTATATCGCAATGATGTTTGATTTTGTTGATTTCTAATAACTTTTTATTGGTGATGTTAGGCAAAGAAAAGACCTTCAATTGATTTCACGGAAAAAGTTCAGAAAGATATCAATCCCAGCATGTGTGCAATCCTAATAGACTGGTTTGTCGAGGTAATAAAGACATTAATGATCAACATTATTTTAATCCCATCTTTTTGTTAATTTCATTTAAATTTTCTAATGATCATGTAAAATGTTATAAATGTAGGTTGCAGAAGAGTATAGATTGCTCCCCGATACATTGTATTTGACTATTAACTACATTAGATATCTGGCAATTTAATGGATTGCTTGCATGATGATTGCTTCGTATGAGACATGTTTGTTGCTTTATATATATATATATATATATATATATATATATATATATATATATATATATATATATATATATATATATATATATAGGATATAGATCCGGTAAAAAAAATTTTTTGGTAGGAAGGTAAGAAGTTTTTTTTCTACATATTTTTTTGACGAATAAAATAAATGAATCACTAGATGATTCATTTGTAAGATGATTCACAAGAAAAAATTCCGAAAAAAACATATTTATGATTCATTTTTAAGTAAATTAAGAAAAAAATTCATTTTTATGACAATTTTAGTGAATAACAACAAAATCATTGTATAAATGAATCATCGAAATGTTTTTTTGAGATTTTTTTTCTTGTGAATCATCTTACAAATGAATCATCTAATGATTCATTTTATTTGTTCGCGAAAAAAATATGTAGAAAAAAAATTTCTTACCTTCCTACCAAAAATTTCCTTCTTATTTGATATTGATTATATATATATATATATATATATATATATATATATATATATATATATATATATATATATATATATATATCTTTACTACTTATAAAAGAAATCTAACTATTTTCTATAAATAGATTAAATATAATAATATTATTTTTTTAAGACGTCCAAACTATTAAGCTTGAAGTACAACCTATTTACAATATAATAATATTAAAACTTTAACCCTATCCTTTATCCCCTAAAAATCTCGTATCAAATTAATAGAAGAATTCATTTGCAAATTGAACCCGTCAATCTCAACACTTCAGCCATTTGAAGCGGTCAATGTCAACAATTTATAGAGGATCTCTTCTCTCACATTGGTAACAAGGCATCTCATAATATCTATCTTTGTAATCCCTTCAAAGTAAGAAATATACGCACACTCTCTCGAAGAACCTAACCAGTAACCAAGATAGTATAACAACCACCACCACAGCCACTCTGCCTCCTTTCGCTTTCAACTAACCACTATCACGACTACCGCCTTTCCTCTCACCCACGACATGAACTTTCTTTTGGAACATAACAGTTTTCTTAAAAAAATATCGTTGAAAGAAGTTATTTGTCCCCGCCGCTGTGCACGGGTAACGGCTAGTATATATATATATATATATATATATATATATATATATATATATATATTAAATTATATTTTCATGATTATCATGTTAGTTGAAGCTATCTTTGTTGGGTCTTTCATAGGAGTCTACACCAGTACACTACACTAGAATCCTAGCCTGATGTTGTCAAGTCCTTGCATTCTCCGCTTCAACCATCAAACTTTGTAGAAGGCTTGATGTGAATGCACTAACTATCCCCCTACATTAACAATTATTACTATATATGATTTTCAATTTATCATCCCATTCCCAGAATACACAATCTTGTTTGCATATGCTAATTACATGCATCATGATGGTGGTGGTTATCTCTCTGACCAAAAACGACTGGGGGAGGGTAATTTGGACCCAACTGAATTAAAGGTGGCCAAAGAGGTGCAAAATCAAGATTTTACTAATTGTATGCCAGGATATGGGGCAGATGCCCTTCGACTATGATGTGAGATTAATTTTTATTTTCAGGTCAAAGTCAAAGATGTCAATTTCGAGATAACGTTGTTCGACCTTCAATTGGTATAGCTACTTGCTCTCTTTCTCCGTTTCATTAGGGATTCCATTGTTGGATATTATATAAATATCTATTCTATTAAAATGGTTTGCAGGTATCAAGTTGTAGCTTACATTGAAGCGTTTGCATATACCTACGAAGAGGGCGTGTTTGGCACGAAACTTTTGAAAGCGTTTGGGAGCTTCTCGCTTTTAGTTTTTGATAAAAACGCTCTAGTTTAAACAAAAAGCGTCGTTTGGCAGTACGAGCGTTTAGCTTTTAGTTTTAACAAAACGCTTCGATTCTAAAAGCTACTTCATATAGTTTTTAACAAAACGCTCTGGAGCTTTTGAAATCAATTTCATAATTACCCTTAAAAATATATTTATATATATTTTTATTTTTAATCAATTGTCCTTTTATGTAGTTTTATATATTTCCAAAGCTTCCAGCTACTTTTGCCAAACATTCATATAACAAATAAAAGTTACAACTTCTCGCTACCAGCTACCAGCTACACGCTACCAACTACCCGCTACCAGCTAACCGCTACCCGCTTTCAGCTAACAACTACTTTTGCCAAACACGCCCGAAAGGTAAATATTTTTATGTTTAAATTACACAATTGGTCCCTGTAGTTTGGTAAAAGTCACAGGTTCATCTGAGTTTTGATTTTCTTTCACATACAGTCCACATGGTTTCATTTGTTAAAACCAAAGTTCTAAATAACGCAAGGCATGACTTGGCGGTGAGGTCAAAGTTAAGTTATGCCAAGCCATGGCGAATCATGACGTTTTTCAAGGTGTGACTGTTTTATATATATATATATATATATATATATATATATATATATATATATATATATATTAAAAGAGATAAATCATATAATTATTGAATTTTATCAAATATATGAAGTTTTTAGAAGTGTTATATTAATATTTAATATAAAAAAGTTAACAAAAACTCAATTATTTTAGGCTCGACAAAGAAAAAAACAAAAAAAAAAATAGAAAAAACCCGCGCCTTGAAAAATACTCGCGCCATAACGAGATAAGGCACGCCTTGACACGTTATTTGGGCGTCACGCTTAGCAAACCTGCATTTGACGTTTTCGTAACGGCTACACCACGCCTTGCGCCATGGCTCGCCTTGAGGCGCGCCATGGCGCGTTTTTTAGAACCATGGTTAAAACTAACACTTCAGCTTTTAGTTGTTATTATTATTATTATTATTTTTAATATGACCATTTTTCCCTTGTAGTTTTTAATGGAGGTTGATCATTTGCAAGATGTCCCAAGGCCATATATAAAGATTAAAGGGGCAAATAAGGAAGTTGTTGTAGCTTGTGGTTCGGCACTCGAGGTTGATGGATCATACACCACAAAGATTGTTCCATTTATTTAAAAATTTAAAGTCTTTATTTATTTTTTAATTATTTTTTTTCTTCATTTTTAGAGTTACCTTGAAATAGTACTGGAAAAATTACCAGCATCTGATAGAAACTCAAGTGGGATCAATACTCAACAAGTTGCACGGTTGCAACAACTTGTAGAAAACATTCAATCTCAGGTTTAATATTCAAATTGTTTATATTAAAAATATAAATATATAAATTTTGTTAAATATTTTTATTTATTTTGATATATCAAAAGCAGGGTAGCAGTTCATCATCTAAGTCATCACCAAGTACGGAGGTTATTTCTCCCATGGAAGTTGTGATTGAAGATATGCAATCAAATATCAAGAGACTCGAATGGTGGTAGGCAATTAATATAGCAAGTAAAAGGCATTTTGGTCATTTAACATTTATTATTGTTTAAAAGTTTATTAATTTCACTCGTCTGATTGTGTGTAGGTGCTATGGACATTTTTTATGTCCGCTTTTGTTGGATATTCACTATATCAAAGGAATCACCAGTGAAATTTAATTACAAGTTTTTAGGTGAAAAGTTTAGAAATACTACTGAACGATGTGGTTGATAACGTTGAGGGTGTAGATGGGATTCATTAGATTGATAAAAAAATTCTTGTGGAACTGCTGTAGGCGATTTCAGTGTGAGAGAGATGGAACATGATCCACATGCCTATTATCATCTTCTTGAGACTAAGCTTTCTGCAAATGAAGATTCTTATTCCAAGGATCTAGGATCAGTTTCTGAAGATTAAACATGTAACACCGTAAGTTTTTGAATAAATTTTTCATTTAAAATTTTATAATTCTCATGAGACATTTCACAAAATCCCATTTATTTAATTTACAAATCGCAACTCCATTATTGTTTGATTAAAAATCCAGGATCCTCAAAACATAACTCTTTCACTGGTGTGTACAATCAAGCCATTACATTCTCGTGATCCTGAGAGAAACCTAAAACACATAACACATAACACGGTAAGCACGAAACTTAGTGAGTTCCCCAAAATACCACACATAACTCTGTAGCCACTCGAGGCTATAACACAATAAAGACCCTCCGGTCAATGTGCCTCAGTGGGACCCTACGATCCCACAACCCTGATGGACCCTCCAGTCCTAACTTTGTGGACTCTTCGGTCCTAACTCTGTAAGCTCAGAATATAACATATATATCACATAGACAAAATGCATAATATCACATAACTCAAGTAAGCACATAAGGCCCTCCGGTCGCACAAAGATTACCACTCTAGGTAAAGTATAGTGAGAAGACTTACCTCGTAAGCTAGCCAATATAATCTCGTACACGGAATCTCGTACTAGCCTCTGCCTACTACATAGAATAATTATCTTTAATTAATACTCTACTCATACTCGAATATACCGAAGGTTGTTCTCCCTCTCTCTCTCTCTCTAACTATTGGAATGGGTAAAAGACCAATTTACCCCTCCATTACTCATACTAACCAAACCCCAAAGTTAACAGAAATCAAACTCGAGTCAATAGTCCATTTTTTACATGACTTGCCGAGTGCATCCATGTAACTCGTCGAGTTCCCTCGTTTTCCTCAGAAGTCTCATGGAGGTTGACTCCCAACTCACCGAGTTATTGCATTACCGTGAACATCGGGACAAACCCTAACTGACTCGTCGAGTCAGCTCATGGAATCGGCGAGTTTACTCAACCTGATTTCTCATTCAGACGCCCAAGGTCAGATCTACTACACTAGACTTTAGATCCAGTCCTTTAAGGCACAAAATCCGCGTAAAGTCTCGACCTTTACGTTCATGCATGGCATATATTCCCAAAAAGGCCAATACAAAGTCTTACAAAGGGTTAGGTGCTCAAAGTCTAGTCTCAAGCTCAATAAAGTTCAGGTCTTTGGGCTCTCAAGACCCTCTACACTTCTAATCTGAGGTTTCAACCTTAAATCATACACAAAAGGCTCAATGACTCTAACAATGGAAGAAAACCCTAGAAAGTCCCATATCAAGATCTCCCTAGAAGATAAGCAAGTCAACATATTTACCTCAAGCAAACCTTGCTGAATCTGAGGATCCAACACCTCTTTTTGCCCCAACCTCAATACTCTTCACTTCTCCTTCAAAGAATGCACCAACAACTACCAACTTAGCTCCTCACTCACTCTCTAGCTCTAATAGCGATTAGGATTTTCTCTCAGGGGTGTAGGCTAACTGGTGAGGTGGAAATGGGGCATAAGTTCCCTTATATAGGACCCAACCCCGGGGAAATTAGGGTTTCTCTACCCAACACCTACTTGGTGAGTCAGTTCTCTGACTCGTCGAGTCCACTCATTAATTCCACGAGTGCAACTCGATTCTACTCGATGAGTTGGACTCACAACTCATCGAGTCTCTCCATAAATCTCAAAATTTAAACACACAATAATATACCTCATAGTCCGGATGTTACAATTCTCCCCCACTTGAATTAGATTTCGCCCTCGAAATTGCTCCTCAACAACACATAGATCGAACCCAAAAACCTGAAAAGCACCACTGAAAGGATCTCATACCACACCGATATCTTTCACCAAGGACACCTAAATCCAAACAGGAACTCCCAAACCCAGAATAAGACAGACCCTTCTACCGCTACGATACCCGATCTTACTCTCCATAATCCGGAAATCTAGTGGTCTATCACACTGCCAAACCGCCCCCTTCAAGATATCACCATGTTATTCGCTCCTCGAATAACAGACCCTGATAACTCACTGCCCCTCTGATTCCCCCGTTGCCACTGATAGAAACAATCCATTGGCCAATAATTGGCTACCAATCACTCATACTAGATATACAAAACAATCCAGATCATACTCTAAAGAACGAAACGGTCACATCTCCCCAGGGACCCATCCACTGCATTGCAATCATAACCCATCTGAACAATGAACTATCAACACCTTGTGCTTAGACACACAAAAAAATGATCATGCTTGTTCAGAATTATCCTCTTCCATCTAACAATCATAAACCCCAGCTCCCTTCTCAAATATCCCTTTCAACACTGAGCACCAAGTCATCTCCCGACCCAACGGTTGAACCTCCAAAGGTTACCCATTGCATACCCCAAAACGTCTCACTGACTTCCTTCTCACACTAGCTACCCCAAAATATCCCTTTCAACACTGAGCACCAGGTCATCTCCCGACCCAACAGTTGAACCTCCAAAGGTTACCCATTGCATACCCCAAAACGTCTCACTGACTTCCTTCTCACACTAGCTACCTCGGCCCAACGTGACACACAAGTCACAAAGTTCGCTCTACCCCAAGTGAATACTACAAACCCAATTGAAATCGTCTCACCCTCGACCTCTGTCGTCTACTACTCATTAGCTCCAAACATCTCGCGGTCCTTTCCAAACGAACTAACCCACACATGTCGAAGACATAAGATGACACACAATACCCCTCAACATGGAACCTATCTTTAGGTCCAGAATCTCATTTCACCTTCTCAATACACCACTAGAGCCAACTCAAACTCGAGAGTCTGGCCCGACATAGAATTGGAACCACTCGTCCTAATGAAGCACTCAACTCATAACCCATGATTTGCAACTTACGCGTACATCACTTCTCCAATTCCATCTGATTGCGATAACCACACCTTAACTCAGAATGCGACGACTCCTGATCATTAGAGAGATCCCAGTCTCACCCCTGGCCCGACCACCAAGTTCCCACATACTCAAATGATAAGGCTACCCAAGCCTAGGAACTTTTCTATGTCATGCTCTAACTAGTGAATACAACGAATCCCCGTAGATTCATAATGCTTCTCTCGCTTATTCACCGGCTAATGAAAACTACGGTTCCCCGTAGTCCCACAATACTCTCATGCTGATTAGTGAAAACTAAGGATCCCCCATAGTTTCACAACGCTCTCCCTCTGACCAGTGAAAGCTACGACTCCCCGCAGTTTTACAACGCTCTCTCGCTGACCGGTGAAAGCTACAACTCCCCCACAGTTTCACAATGCTCTCTCACTACTTGGTGAATACTATGGCTTCCCACAGTATCACCACACCTACTTGCTAACTAGTGGATACTACGTCTACCCGCAACATCACCACACTCTTGCGCACTACTCATGGATGCTACAGCTCCCCGTAGTCTTACAACACTTTCTCTTACCACCTCACGATCTCATCTTCAAGTCGATGCCACACTGTGTTCACTAACTCATGCTCCGCGACCCAACATAAATAGGTGCACACACCCATCCGAAAATAAGCATCACTACTTCTGACTGCAATCGCTGTGACAAACTCCTTTTCTTGCTGCAATTCTTATTCTTAATTAATCTCGCTTGATGTCAATTAGTCGAAGGGCTCCCACTGGAACCATATATACTTGGTACACCACTTTCCACCTCTTAACTCAAGACTCAAAATAATCCGAAATTTAGGACATCATACTTGGATACCTCGGTACACCATCACAGAACCTTATGATGTCTTGCCTCAATCACTGATCTCATACTCATGGCATCATACTCAGATACTACATTCCCTCTCAGAATCTCACAACCGATCTTCCTCTCTCACAATGTGACAACCCGATATTTCAACTACATGGAAACGACCTAAAAAGTCAAGTATTGTAACCATGTTAGTTGTAATAAAATTAACTTCAAAAATAAAATATCCAAAAATCACTAATTAAATTACCTATTATGTTAGAAGTCATTAAACCATGATCATACTTAAAAAGAACGCCCAAATCCGACTTCGTATAAGAAAGTTAGGAATTTTTCAAGTTCGGCTTAACGGCAGATGGCTAAAAACTCGAATCAGAGATCGAGCAACTTTTGGCCGGAATGACCTAAACGAGAATCTAAGGTCTCAACAACGGTATTTTAGCGGTAAAAAGTCTGGCAAAAACCGACGTCAGATAAAGAAGTTATGAATTTCTAAAGAAATTTTCTTACCGCGACCTTTTAAAAATAAATAATAAAAATAATTTCGAATTTGCCAACGGGATCTAAACGAAAGTTGTAGAGTATGGTCTCACCTTCTCGTGGATATAAAGAACGTCGGAAACGGAGTTCGTATGAAGAAGATATGAATTTTTGAAGTTTATTGAATAATTAATATATAAATTTAATTCAAAATTCGGTATTATCCGAAGGGTGAGTCACCGGGTCCATCCGAGTTACGCGCCGCGTACAGGCGTACGCCCCGTGTACGCGTGGCCTTGGTCTCGGTTCGTCCACGTCGCCCCTATGCGATACTACCCCGTCCCGTCTGTGACATCCCCAAAATCTCGGCCAGAAAAGACCGATTTTCATTTATGCTTTTAAAAATAAATTCAGAAT